CGAAAAGAATGCCGGTGCTCCAGAATTTGACGCAGAATGAAGATGTGGTCGATACAACCTCGACCGGGCCTAAAATCGGCCTGGTTCTCACGCGTGCACCGTTCACGTGCGGAAGACAATCGGTTGAGTATGATGCCAACGAGAAGTTTAGAGGCAATGTTGATTAAACTAATTCCTGTGGTATCACAAGAGGATCTATCACCTTTCTTGTAAACCGGTGTGATCACCGATTGACAATTCAGCTGGAACCTCTTCCCTTTCCCATATCAAACCCAGGAGTTTTGTCAACTCCAAGACTAACGCTGAGCCTCCATCCTTAAACGCTGATGGGAACAGCCCAACTGAGCCAGAGGCCTTATGTCTTTTGAGATACCTGAATCACCGCAGAACGGTATTCAGTTGAAGAAAGTGAGAAATTAGGAAAACTAATCAAGCGCTTTATTCTAGGGTACTTCCGCGGAGAGAACAATCAGTATTTGTTTCAACACGCTGGATGCCTTAGTAAAATCTTATTTCACTGAAAAGCGTATGAATGAGTAGAACTGCAACCGATAGCAATGAAGAAGCATTGACTCGTAGTTCTATGTTCCAGGAGCATATTTGTAAACTGAAATCTTTGCACGTCAGAAATGATGTTTACAGTCTAATGAAAAACGAACGATTACCTGGATGCTTGGCTCCTCGACCGGTGGACTGCAAAACAACCCCCTGACACATTCGCCCGCTTCGATTGGCCAGGACGAGAACATCTGGTGGGGCGTCACTGAGAATCATTTGATTTGGCAAATCCCGACAGTGTGAACTGGAAAACGATAGTAACGCACAAAAGTCGTCTCCGTAGTTGTCCGCCGAAGGGGGCAGAATGTGCAGAGTCTGGATGTTTAAACTAGAAGAATTGTGAGCAGACGAGAGGCAGCCGGACAGGCGGAGAACATCACCTGAAAAACGAGTGAGTCAAAGGAAAAAATTCAATAACGACAAATTCTGTCCTCTTTAAATCCGGGAGCGACAGCGCTAACTGGGTATGTACTCTAGCAAACTATTTGTTGTTCTCTATCAGTGAAAAATTTCCTTGTAAATTGTCCAGCTAATTCATCTGATTAGATAAGAATCGTCAGTATTTTTTTATTATACACCGATCTATGATGGAAAGCAGACGGGGTGGAACACCATAGTCACGAAAACCTGCTGTTCAGCGATAGAAACGGACAACCTAAGCCCCGGGAATTGGAGTGGCGAACCACATAAGGCCCCACTAGGTTAGGCGTGGTACTGAACCCGTGTTCTGATAAAATACATTGTGTACCGCAGCTTGAAAGAGAACAGTATTAATGGGATGAAGTAAGTAACAGAACTCACTCACTGCTCACTTGAACCATATCACTCTTTTAAGGGGCTCCTTATGGGATTATCCTCTCATGCTGACACCATCTGAACCGTGATGTTGACTAACATATAACTTTGTTGTATATACAGGCGATGTAATAAGTATGTGAATCATTGGATAAACCTTTCCCAGGAAGCTTAGAGCCGCTTTTGTGCTGACTCTCATTTATCTGGTATGCCTGTTCGCTAATCTATCGTTTGGTTCTTCATATACTGGAACCGCACGTGCACTCTGTTCAACAATTTATAACCTCCAATATGGGGCATAGCCTTCGCGTATAAGCTGTTCTTAAGCGCTCTGTATCAATCAGTCCTATGATT